TGAGACCGCCCTTTTCAACTTAAAATCTGCATCATTCACAAAGCTACTGCAAAGAATACTTTGCAGAGTATTAAATGGCAGTGCTTGCTTTCAAAATATCTAAAGTCACCACAATTTTAATAACTTTTTGAGTGGCTGCCAGCTTAATTTTCAGTGTGTGCAAATTGGAGGTAAATTATTTAATGCTTCCAGTAAATGTCTTTGACATTTTCACTTACTTTTTAAAAAATCCACTTTAATGGATCATAAAACAGAAATCTTTCATAGAATCTATGTATCTGTCTATTGTCTGTCTGTCTGTCTGTCTGTTAGGAACAAATGTACCTATTACAATTAGGTTACTGTAGGTTAAAATATTAACCATATTTCATAAAGTATGACATTTTTTAGATTAGAGCAGCTGCAGCATAGCACTGAGCCCTCTTGATTTTAGATTATTCCTATATCAGTATGTGAACTAGCACTGTGACTATCAGGACTAATTGATTTTATTTAGTCAGTAATAAGTCAGAAGACTATTTACTAATTTCTCCTGAAAAAAATTTAGTGTATTTGAATTTAAATTTATCAGCTATTAATTAAGTACCAGAGACCATGAAAATATAATTAAAAAATCTTTGTGCTTTGACGACATTGTGAAGGTTTCTTTTGTCTTTTACCTTGAAAACCTGCTTTAAGGGTAGTATGAACAGCAATTGAGATGTCCAGGAAAAGTACAAAGTCTTCTAGTTCTATCTGTGGTGGCCAACAGAGTCCAGCACATGTTTGGGCCTTGTCTCTCTGAATTGTCTGTACTAGGCCAGTCCTTGAATGTCTCCACATTCTCAGGACTTCCTGCTTCCATGTCTGTCTTTCTTCAGATGTTGCATCTGCATCCAGAGCCTGTTTTCCTTTGAGTCTTTTAATTGTTAATTTTCATCATGCTTGGATTCCTTTCTTGCTGTCCAGCTCCAAATCTCCAGGCAAGGTCCCACCTTCGCCTTTACACGTCCATGTATTCACTTTGCAAATGTCCACCTGACTTTCCTGTAGACACGTTCAACACAGAGGTTGCAAATAACTCATGCTTGGTTCTTCTGTGCTCCCTACACAAGACCATGCACCCACTTGTAAGACAGAGCTATTGAAGTCAGCCTTTTCTTGCTTGCCTCCTACATACACTGAGTTTCCGTGGCCCTTTAATTCCAGCATAAGATCTCTCAGTTTCATTTGCATGCAGCCTTGTGGCCTCTATTTTAGTTCACTTCCATGTTAAATTTTATCTGAAATAGACTCAGGCCTTTGTGTCTTGTTTTTGTACTCTAGAAATACATTCTTCAGATGTGTGCCCCACACTTAGAAATATCAACAAGAATGACATTTGCAAAACAGAATTTTCACCATTTTTTATGATGCACTCTACCTTTTCAGAGTCACTCAAAGCTGTCTTATTACTGTCTTTTCCAGCCTAAAGTTTTCTCTCCACTCTCTCACAGTCCTCCCTACTCTCTCATATAGTCCTCTCAACTCTCTCAAAGGGTCATCCCCACTCTCCCACAGGTCCTACCCACTCTCTCATAGGTCCTCCTCACTCTCTCACAGGTCTTCCGAACTCTCTCATAGGTCTTCCCCACTCTCTCACACAGTCCTCCCCACTCTCTCACAAGGTGTTGCTGGCATATTCCAGCTTGACTGCCCTCTGCATCTCTTGTCTATCAGTTTTCCATCTGCAGAGATTCCTTTTTTGTCTTACTTTGGAACTCCTGATAATTTTTCAGGGTTTGTCTTACAAGTGACTGTCTTCAGGAAATGATGTTTTGTTGACAAGGCTGAATTATCTGCGCCTCGGTCGTATAGAAGACCTGTGCTCATGTCTGTTTCACATGACCTCAGTCACACTCCATTGTAAAGTTTTGTGTGTCTTCCCTTCAGTTACATTGTGATTTGTTTTGTTATTACAATCATATTAAACAAATCCCAGTTTGGCCTGTTCCTTTTATAACAATTATTAATGGTGTGTTAGTCAATTCAAATGCCATTGTTCCTTTAACTAATAAAAGAAAGAAGGATTGATATTAGCAAACATTTATCAACCAATTTGGAATATAATTTTAGTATACCCATGGATATATAGATATATAAACACAACTCAATGAAGCTGTAATATTGGGTTTAATAAGATGTTTTATAACAGGAAATAGAATTACAAACTTTCTTTACGTAGTCTACATGAAATTAGCTTGGGGAAATTTTTAACACTTTAGCTGTCAATATTTTTATGTCAGTAGACTAGTAATTCTTTAGGGAAAAACCTTGTATGTATGTTTGCTTCCATATTCTATTTACTTGTATATTCTTTATTGTCTATGCCTTTTTTCAAGCGGCTGTAATCAGATGATAAAAACACATTGATACTTTGAAAATCCTTCAAACATATTATTGGATATTACAAGACTTCATAGAGCTCCTGGGTTCCTTGTACACACACTACAAGGAACATCTCTGTATGCTGTTAATTTCTTCCATGGAGAAACTCTGACGTAGATATAACTCCCTACTTTTATAGAGTAGGGGTGGAACATTAAGACTGGATTGACATAAGTTCTAGCTTGGGGTTCTAGATTTTCCAACATGTTTCATTAATATGCCTGCTTTTTCAAATCATGTTCATATTTGAGACAAATAAAGATGACCTGTCCCTTTGCAGCCCATCTGTGTCCTGGATTAAGTAAATACAACATTTATTTAATACTTTATAGCCCATAATTAGATCTCATAACTAAGAATCTGGATTCTATCCTTAGATGCATACTAACCGACATAGAAGTGATTGAGGAATAGGATTGAAGAGTGTATTGGAATTAAGAGAAAAGACATAATATGTGACAAAACACCTACTGTGTACATTGCAATTTTGAGACAAATGAAGCTCCAAGTATTGTCATTAGGATGGAGGGTGGCCTTTAATGACCTTTGTGCTTGGGGTCATCATTGGCTTCATGACAATGCCATACCATACCAGGAACTTAAGGATTCTCTCTAAAGGAACAACAGAATTCAAAAGCACAAGCAACTGTGTTTTTCATGTTTGCAACAATTTTGAAATTCTTTTCTAAAAATTATAAATATTCATAAATATATATTAAAGAACAAATATCCTGTTTATAGAACAAAAATGGTACTGTAGTTAAGCATGAAAAATATGTCTATAGAAAAAATGAATAAGGACTCCTAGACTAATGTTTTTGAGATACATTTAACTATAAGTCCCTAAAATAGGTGTGGAGGACTAAGATTAGGTATGCTGGAGAAGTGAAGGTTCTTGGATTGTAAAGTCAGAGAGGTCCGATCTTCTTTCTGATCAGCTACCTTTTGAAGCTTCATTTTCTTGACTTGTAAAATGGAAACAGTGCCAGCGGACTACTGTGAGAATGAACTAATGTTTCAAGATAATTGGGCGAATTTAGTTTATGACTACAGTTGTTGATTGTTTTGCCTGGATCCTGCTACTAATATGTGTATTTTGTTATTTCAGTGAGGACTATTGGCATTTCATCTAGTCTCCGCCCCATAGTTACCTGGCAACAGCCAAATGTACCTAACTCAGTATAAAAGGGGCTGCTTGCCCCTCATCACTCTCTTTACTTTCTTCTCTTCTCTTGCTCCCTTACCCGTTCCTATTCTCTCCCCATCCCCTACCCCTCTGTCCACATGCTCATGGCCACCTCTCTATTCCTCTTTTCTCTCCCTCTCTCTCTCTCTCTCTCTCTCTCTCTCTCTCTCTCTCTCTCTTTCCTCCTTCTCCTCCTCTTCCTCTTGCTCCTCCTCCTCTTCCTCCTCCTCCACTCCCCTCCCCATGCTCTAAATAAACTCTATTCTATATTATACCATCCTGTGGCTGGTCCCTGGGGTATATGTTGGGGGAGGGGGGCGTGGGGAGGGATACCTCAGCATGGGCCCTGCAGAAACACCTCTTACTCTACACCTTACCTCACCTCAACCAAACATATCCTTGGCTTCTCTCTTTTTATAACACAATAAATACTGTATATATAACTTATGGAGATTTTCTCATCTGTGTGCCTTGTTTCCACTTTACTGAGCCCTGGTCATATTATTCTAGAATGTCTTTGTGGATAAATAGTTATTTTCGCTAACTAAGGTCTCAACATGTGTTTCTTCGACAGGAAGGCATGACCATAATTTTCAAACTTCATCTTGGGCCCTTATTTCACTCTACTAACTGCTAAAATAGTGACTATTTTTGCTGGACTCCAAGTGCTACATTATAAACAAGTCCAGCCAGTTTCTGCTCATCCCTTAAAGTGGAGTACATGAGATTACCCTGACAAGAATATATTAGTATGAATAAAAATAATCTTTTCTCCAAATAGAACTATGCCTGCCCTGTCATCTGACTTCTCACATAAAAGCATGGGACTTGGAAATTAGGAAAGTTTATTTTGGATTCAGTTATGCTTAGTCATGAAAACAGAATAAAACAAACACCAAGTTCTGCAGAATAAGCAATTTGATTTAACAACAACAAAAAACCATTTGACATTCAGTTTTGAAATAGTGCAAAAAGTCAGTTAAAATTTGAAATCCCTTTCTTCTCTGGTTTACATTGTTTTTTTCTTAAGAAAGAATTTTTGAGGTGGGCATGTTAGAAGAAATATTCTTGACAGGAATATTCATGAGTTTTGAGTAAGATCTTAAGCAGTGTTATCTTTCTCTGTGGCTCTATTCCTGTGTGAATCTGAGCAAGGTTATTACATTGAGGGAACACACATCATAAGACTGTTCATGGTGTCATTTCCTCTTGCCTCAGTGGTGATAGAATAGGTTCGAAATCAAGTAGAATCCCAGATCCAAAACTTTTGCCAAAGCAATTTGCCCTGAGTCTCCAGTGAAACCATGAAAGTCTGGTTGCTTTAAAACAGCTGCGGTGAAGATGAAGTGCTTTGCACCTTCAGCATCTCCTAGCTGACTTAATTATTGCTTCTTCATTCCTCTTGTAGAACTCTTGAAGTTTCAATCAGCTATAATGATGGGAAGTCTGCTGTCTCAAGATCCTTAACAATTACAGCCACAGAATGTGTGAGTAAAAGTCTAATTACCTTTAAAAAGAGTTTTATCATGAGATTAAAACCTAGAGTCTTATTAAACATGGAAGCTACAAACCAAGCAAAACAACACAAGGAAACATTTAGAGAATTTATTTAATTTTTTTCTGTTCTGATCTATTTTAAAGGTTATATAATATACATTATATTTTAATATTTATAAAATCCCTCAAAGTCATATTTTAGATTTTAAAAAGTAAGAAAATAGAAAGGAAGCATTCTTTTAAGGAGGTTAAATATGAAAGCATTTTTTCTTATTATGAAGATTAGAATTTAGTAACCAAAATGTTGATCAAAGTTTGAAATTGCTAGTGAGTATTAAAAGATGACATCATCATTTTGTCCAGGTAGACTCAGTCTGTGCCTTCTAATGTAAGTAAGAAATCTCATTCTGAGAACGTGCGCCTGCATGGGTACACGCACACGCGCGCGCGCGCGCACACACACACACACACAGAGGCAAATTAAGGAAAAACAAGAAATCTTCTTTTCCTCCAAAAGTCCAAAGTAGCAAGCTTAAGATTTCCCCATATCATGGTTTTATGCATTCATTCAGCAGATACACAATGTTGCCCCTTCTGGGATATCTGTTTCTCATTGTAAGACAATGTTGTAGGAAAAATGAAATATCTACATGGGTTTTTGAACCTTTTGAACTCTCGATAATTTTATTAACATTTCTGTTTTGTAAATAGCAATTCTTTTTTGCAACTTCTAGGTTTTGTGGATGTTGTAATTTTTTGGTTTTCTCATCTCAGGATGTGGTTGATTGAGGTTAACAAATACTTGTGCTGTGAAGTTAGTTGCTCAGGGCTTAGCTCACTGAAATGACACTCTTTCTCAAGCCTTCTCACCCTTCTTCACACCCTTCTTCCTTTTAAAAATCTTCCTTCCTTGCAGGTAGGAAAACAGTTTTTTTTTCTGTCTTGTAGTCAAGAGCTACTTCAGTTTTATGTATAAGGACTCTTAGGTAGAATGACTCACCTGGTATGGATGTATATGACCATCTTATCTGAGCTTGGTGAGTTCTCAGGAGACTTGTTTCTAAAGGTTGTTGAAGAGTAAATTGTTTAGGAAGTGAATACTGGTATGTCAGAAGTAGGGGAAGAGCTGGAGACAGAAAAATTAAACAGGGGTCAAGGTGAGTCTCCTTGAGATGATGACTTTTGAGTCAAGGCTGGAAAGGTGATGGAATGAGTCCTCAAGACCATGAGTTACAGGAAAGTTCTATGCACATTCTCCAGAAGGCCAGAGCCTGAGGTGGGGCAGCTTCTAAAGAAGAGTGCTCAGTGCTGGAGTGTTGACATGCCAGGAAAATTGGGGTCTCAATGAGGAAGAATCTGTGGTGGAGGGGGTGGAGGACATTTGATCCTGTGAGTTACTGTGAGGCCTTGGGACTTTCTTCCCAGTTACAGGAAGAATCTTGAACAGACACACACACTTAATGCTTACAAAGATCCCTCTGGCCACTGTGTGAAAACGAACAAAATGAAAATATTGAAACCAAGTCTCATAGCATTCCTGTAGTCTAAGAAGCATGAGAAAGAAGTAGTCCCGTTGGGGTGACAGTGATGGAAATGATTAAGAAGAGATTAAGTTTCGATAGACTTTAAAGTTACAGCCCTTTGTCTAAGGAGCTTAAATGTAATTCATGGATGTAAGAAGGAGATTTCAAATAGTTTTTTTTTCCTTGAGGTGTCAGAAGGATGATTAGTTATCAGGGAGAATATGAAGAGTTCCCTTTTGGTACCTTTGGACAATAGATGAGTGACAGTGGTCATGCAGTGATGATGTTATGAAACTTCTGCCTCTCCAAATGCTAATGCTTTGCAAAATGATTCTGGGTGTCACCAGCAACACAAATCCCACATGGTATTTACCAGAGAACTGGACTCAGCCTTCCAGAGGATTCTGTTTGCCTTCTTGGATCCCTTCAGGTGGCACTCACTCACTCAGACTCTATGCTCCTACCGCAGTGGCTTCTCTCTTTTGTGAAAGGCCTTTTGTTATAAATACACAGTTCTCTCACCTGCTTGTCCTTCCTCAAGGATTGCCTGCCAGGTTCCCCCATGTGTCTATTGGGTTTCCTCAGACTTCATAGTGTCATTATTTGTTCAAGGTCCATCTCTATTACGCATGGGCTATGAGTGCACATCCAGTATGTAGCCTTGGCACCCATTTAACAGTGCAACATAGAGTACTGGCTCCTCAGGTATGATTTAGATAAAGGGAGAAGTATTTTTAGATGTCTGTCATGTATATTGAATCCATTTAATTCAAGAAAAACAGACAATCATGGGTTGAATATTTTTTGAGAATTTTTCAACTGGAGGTCTGTGTGTGGACAACATTTCTGAGTAAAAGTAAGAAACTTTTGCTTTGTGATCATGATACAGATCTAGGAGTAACAAGACCTAGTTTCATACTCTTCCTCATCTGACTTGAAGTCTACACCAGGCCATCAACTTATAGGACTCTCGTTTCCATGCCTGGCCTTTTCTTAATTTGTTTATGAAGTTATGTGAACAATGAAACTATTTCCTTTACCATACTGACCATTCTATTCTCTGATGTTAGCTCTGACAATGAAAACAGAGGAAATGGAGAAGCTGGGATTTGTACACAGTACACAGAGCTAGTGTTTGGGATAAGTACAAACAGACTCAGACCAAAGTCAGGTAGCTGTAAATCATCCCTTCCTCCCTCTCATTTTCCGCCTTGCTTGGCTGAGACAAAAGGAAAGTGAGATCCATAGTTCTTCAGAACATACGAATTCTAGTTCTATATTTTGCAGACAGTTTTTGGAATCAGTTGAGATTTGTCACCATACTAAATGTCTATTTCCTTTGTGGAGACGATTTGCTTTTTTGTCAGTCTTACCAATAGAAGCCCTTTATTTGGAGGGGGAAAATCAAGAATTTTAAGTACCCATCTACTTAATATTTCAGAAGTCAACACAGGTTTGTGAGTTTCTTGTTCGTTGAACATACATAGGAAGAACAGACAGGCCACACAGTTTTTGCTAATTCATAGCCTTCAGTTGTGTTTCCTCATCTGTGAAAAGGACATAAATGTGAGGGGAAAAGGGAGATTTGGATGTTCTCAGAGTTCTCTGTGAAGGTGTATAGCACAGCCACACTGAGAATATATTTGTGAGTTGGTAGGCCTAAGTGGGGGATAGAGGTCTCTACAAGATCCTGTTGCTGAAAGTAAGACCAAGAATGCATAGGATTCTCTCAGAGTCCACTGCAGTTTCCCACGTACTTCTAGGAAGTGCTTTTCCTGTATATTCCTGTCTTCCTAGTTTGCTACTTACTGTAACTGCCTGTGGGGGGTATTGTGGTTTGTATGTGCAACTTGTGGGGAAGGAGGATGAGCTTCCTGTATTTTCCTGATCTACACTCAGTTGTCTTCTGTTAGCTTTAAGAAGGCAGTCTATAGATGTTTATCTAAAATTCTTGATAAAGTATTTCTTTCTCTTCGTTTTTCTTCCCTGAGTACTTTCTCTTTTAAAAACAAACAAATCTGACATAAGATAACCAACTAAAATGGTTTTCCTGGAATTCCCAGAGACATTGGGTTTGAAAGAGACAGTTTTCAAGTAAAGTCAGTACCAAGTTCTGTTTACAAAGTAAAAGTGTTGATGTCCATTTTGACATCTGTGTCATGTGGAGTCTTGTTGATTTGGAGTTCATGTTCTTGGTACATAGTTTGTTAATGCCAAATAAGTAGTATCAAATGGTAAGTTGATTAAAAATAGCCTTTGATTTCCTAGGAGATGCACCATCATGACAGAAAAATGGAATTAAATTACCCAAAGCTCATAGTTAATGCCACTGTAAAAGCAGTACCGTTAAAATATAGAGAAATTCTGTCTAAATTTCTGGTCTGATCCAGTAGGACATTTGTAGCTGTGGATGCCTAGGAAGGGTCCTATACTAGAAACAGTTAGCCTGAGGCCTGAAGAACTCAATGGTTGCTACAGTGCTGCTTACAGGCAGGACCCAGAGAAGGTACTCAAAGGGTAGAGGAACTTGGTGGACAGACAGTAGAGAAACATAAGACCTCTTGCCTGTGTCATATGTGAAGCATGACCAGAAGTCAGTACAAGGAAGGACTTATCAGACTGAAGTTTCATTGAGACAGCAACAGGCATTGTTTTTCTTATTGATCTGCATTTTCTATCTACCTCATCCTCCAAGTATATAAAGTAACTGCTGCTGTATCATCATAAAACCTGGGGAAATTCTGCCTGGAACAAATTGGACTTGAACCAATGTAATTGTTGCCTAAGCACAAAAGTCCCCAAGGGACCATTTGTTTAATACTCAAAAACTGTGGCTCTCACATTCTTCAAGACATATTTAAATCAATCTGCAGCATGTTGGAAGATGTTGCATTTCTTGTTCATCATCTTTGAGTGACATAACATGCAATAAGTGAAATACAAAGGAATTAATAATGAAAAAATACATTAATAACATTTAAAAGAGTGGAACAGAATCTTGGCCTGATACTGTTTGTCCATTTTCCCCCAGTGTGTGCTATCTTCAAAGGAAAGAACATGTGGGTTTTGACCTTAAACTTCACTTTTTATTTTTATTTTTTAATTTTTTCCTTTATAGTCCAGTGGGATTGCAGTCCTCATAGCTATTTTGGTGTTGTTGCTGCTCCTGGGTGCTGCCTTGATGTGGTGGTTTTGGCCCCTTTGCTGCAAAGTGGTAAGAAGAGTTTTCAACTCTTATTTATTTTTTAAAGCACTGTGATACAAAGTAAGGCCCGATGTATGAATGAATGTCACATGGCTTAGCAAATGAATGAATGAATTAATTAATTCAGCAATTAAAACAGCAAAGTTTTAATTGGAAACTTTGAATCTTGATTATTTTACAATTATAGTCATTTATAGAAAACACTTATGTCAATATCTAGCATAAAATCCACATCAAAGACACTTTGGAACTCAGATGGGTGGAGAGAAGTGTTGAAAGGTTGGAGGTATTTGTGAATGAAGGTCATTTCTACTCCAGCACAAAGATAGTTCTGATAAGTGGATGCTGTTTTCCACCATCATCCCGAGGGCTGTGGGTCTGTGGCTGTTTCCAATGCTCGTGGAATGCATATCTTTGAAGATCTATGACACAGGATGTTCTTTTATCTTACAACTGTAATGTGTTTTAGAGGTAAGTCCAATGCAGAAGTTAGGCTATCAGTTAAACAGGTACTTTTAGAGACAGACAAACAGCTGACGCCATTTTCATGTTTGCAGAAAGCCCATGAGTTTGATACTGCTGAGCTCCTTCTTGTAGTGCTAACAGGTTGCCACCCATGTAACTTGTAAAAGTACCTCACATTTTTATCTAATGGTTGTTTCACTACAGTGTTTATATAGGACACACTGGGCTGGTGGGCTTCCCTGGAGACTCACACACTTCTGGGGCAGAGTCTGTTTCCTTATCACTTCCTGTTTAAAGTGACCCCTACTTCCTTGCCTTGTGACCTCTTTCCTCACCCCAGAGCCAGTACCTCTGTGTCGTATCCCCTGATGATTCCTCTCCACTTACATATCACTCCAACTGAATCCAAGTGGAAAAGCTGCCTAGTGTTAAAGACCTGTAGATCCCAGTTGGGCCTGTTATCTCAGAGTTGTTAATCATCATAACCCCTTAACCATGTAAGGTACCTTATTCACAGTACCAGGGATTAAGTTACAGGCATCCCTACAGAGGTATTATTCAGCCTTCCATGTGATAATGTGTTTTATATATATATCCCTTTTATCTAGAGTTTATAGAAAAGATTATCCCAGGAAAATCTGTCAGTGTGTTCAGTGCATTGCTTGCTTTGAGAGTGTTACTTATGTAAGTACACTTTCCCTATCTCATGACACAGTAGACTGCCTTTTCCCCTTCACCTTTGCTAAGCAATTTCAACGTCCCACAATATCAGGTCATGGTTTATATTCTGGCTATGCTTTTTATAATCTGTTCCACCATCTGCTTTCATAAGGCAGCCTTAGGATCCTTCCCTCAGGGTAGCTGGCCCACAGAGGAGGCACAGCATTGACTCGGACATCAGGAGGGATGAGGCTCTTCTTTGCTGAACTCATCAAGTTCCTGCCACAGCAGTTTATGCTCAGAAAGTTTCCTGATACAGTCTTGATTACCTTAGATACGGCTATTCTGGGGTGGATAGCATTCTTGAGTCTCAAATTAAAAAGCAAAAAGGTGCCTTAATGTGATTTGTGCTCCTTGCATTTTTAATTTAAATTTCATGGTGGCAGATTCCTCCCATCATTGGTTAGTAATTTCATTTACTGTTGGTCACAGGGTGAAAAAGTGTTCAAGTGTGTGCTTGTTCCCTTAAAGATACATGAAAAAAAAATACTGATATGGACTGTTTTCAGGAAGGTGTTATTGTTCTGAAATATAGTTTTAGAACATAAGTCTGGATATTATAAAGGAGATGCTATCATCAGCTGGTGATACAGGTCCACTTTAACCCTAGGTTCTTCAGATAATAAACCGTGAACCTGTGTTATGCTAGGCACTGAGAAGTGCCTTCAGTCATGTTATAGGATCTCCAGATATAGTCTCTAGTTTCAGAGATAGCCTGACTTCCCATTAGTACTGAAATGTGTTTGACAGAGCAGCCACTTTTGCTTTACACTTAGAAACAGAATGGAAAGCAGCAAGCCCTGAATGTGAACTTATAGTCACGCCTATGTGGGATGTGAACTGTAACAAATGTGTTCTAATGAGGTTGAAAAGCTGGAGTAAGGTGCAGGCAAAAGTCTTCATTCAGCCTTTGATGCATATGTTGATCATGGAGGAGGCAACAACTACTGTACTAGGCACTGGAGAATCATACATTCCTTCAGTATGATATGAAATTTCATATTTTAATATGGAAGCAAAGAAATGTGGGCTAGAAGTGTAAATGAAGGACCCTAAGTACCCAGCAGCAACATCTGAAGAATAACATCCTCAGAGGCATCTGGCTGCATCTATAATCTCAAATATGTTTTGAATAATAAAGAAAATGTGTAGTTAATGAAGGACATTTGAGGTGTGTGTGTGTGTGTGTGTGTGTGTGTGTGTGTGTGCACGTGTGTGTATGTGTGTATGTGTTTTGTGGTATGCTTTAAAAAGTGCTAAGCTGAGACCTACTGTAGAAGACAGTTAGGGTTTTAATTAGACCCTCTTTCAAAGGGTGTCCTATGTCTTCTAGAACGTTTGCACTCACTGCAGGGACTTGAGGAGCTTTGAGAACTGAATGATTTAGGCTCTTGCAATAGAGAGATTGTCTTGAATGGTTTAGTTGGGCTCTATACATAACCACAATCCTTATGAGGGAAACTAGAAAGAGAGACAGATTTTAATGGCCCAGACCTCAAGACAAGGAACACTGATGTGAGCAGAAGCTGGGAGAGGCAAGGGACAGTCTCCCCTCAGCCTGCAAAAGGAAGCCGCTAGCCAACACCTCACCTTTAACTCCATTACGCTTAATTCAAACTCCTGACTTCCAGAAGTGAATGGACACAGATCTTTAGTGTTTTAAACTACATGTTTTTTATGACTTTTTGGTGCAACAATAAGAAAAATTCTATCTTTAGACTGATTCTGATATTCCCAAGTTGGAAATGACTGGTTAGCGCTATTGCTTTTGAAAAGTAAGAGATATGGCTCAGGGGTAAAGGCACTTGCCAACAAGCCAGATGATCTGAGTTCAATAGCTGGAACCCAACATGTGGAAAAACATAACTGGCTCCCCAAAGTTGTTTTCTGACTTCCATATTTCCATTATGGTAATAAATAAATAAATAAATAAATAAATGTAATAAAAATAGAATAACTCAGTTTTGCTTTGTTATGGGTAAAAGTCAGATAGCATGTATAATGCTTTATGTACTGAATAGGACTGATTTCCTGTCTCAGAGTGAGATGAAACAGTATTAGATTATTCTTCAGAATGTGCTAGGCATATGTATTACTAGCATCATAGAAAGCAGGGATCTACGGACAGGTTCTTCAGGATGATGCTACTTGTAAGAAGTCCCTAGCATGGCTTTTTTCAAAGTTAGCTGTGGTGCTGTGCCTCTTCTAAATGCTAAGGATTGGTGTCTTGCCCTGCAGAAAATAGCAGGCATAGGACATCTAGATAAATATGGTATCTGTGAAGCTAGCATGTGCCCGTTAGCTGTATCAACTTCATTCCAGGATACAAGGAACAAACAAGAATCAGGTTTACTTCTAAACTATTTTATACTGATTCTAGTCAAAATGCATAGGGTGAAATAGTACATCTCATTGACGATATGTAAGTAATTGTATAAATAAGCAAGCAGTCAGTATAATTATTTATTTAAAATTTATCTTTTAGAATAGCTCAGCAAGTATATGAAAACAAGCACTGTGATTGTTATTTATTGTAAATATTCCCAGTGGTATAAACATAACCAAATAACAAATAAGTGCTCAGTAAATACTTCTTCTGGGGCATCTTCTTGAACTATGTCATCACAGACACTGAGAGATATAGTGTCTGTATCTACCTACACCAACTTTAAAATAGAGCACTCTGTTGCTCGTTATAAAATAAGTCCTGTTGGCTGTGGAAACATATTGTGCTGCAAGGGATTTGTAGTTGTTAACTGGCACGCCTGGTTCTTTCCTTTTCACTGAAAACGTGTCTCTTATAACTGAATACACAAAAGAAAACACATGTTTAGTACTTCTGTCAAATCGGAATTCTTCATTGTAATAAAATCTGATGTAGAATCAGTTTAGCTCTTATGGAGTTGCCACTGCATGCAACCCACAGGGGATTTTCTAACAGAGGGATTATGAATTTGTATAGAAAAAGGTCTTTGTATCTACTTGTAATGGAAATCTATCATTTTCCTTCATTTATTGCTTATGGTCCCTGAAAGTCCTATGATTTCTGAAGACTGTTCAGTGCCAGTGGGAAACACAGTTTCTATAACACATTTGTAGTTCAGGTAATTTTAAAATGTATTTTACACACATCCCAACTGTACTGGCTGGTTTTGTGTGTCAACTTGACACAAGCTGGAGTTATCACAGAAAAAGGAGCCTCCCTTGAGGAGATGCCTCCATGAGATCCAGCTGTAAGGGATTTTCTCAATTAGTGATCAAGTAGGGAGGGCCCAGCCCATTATAGTTGGTGCCATCTATCCCTGGGCTGGTTGTCCTTGGTTCTATAAGAAAGCAAGCTGAGCAAGCCAGGGGAAGCAAGTCAGTAACCAGCACTCCTCCATGGTCTCTGGATCAGCCCCTGCCTCCAAGTTCCTGCCCTGGGTGAATTCCTGACTTCCTTTGGTGATGAACAGCAATGTGGAAGTGTAAGCTGAATAAACCCTTTCCTCTCCAACTTGCTTCTTGGTTATGTTGTTTTGTGCAGGAATATAAACCCTGACTAAGACACCTACCACAAAGCTATGATAGGTGCTATGTCTGTTACTTGGTCTAATTTGATGAGTTAATAAAGAAGCATGCTTGTTTCTGTAACAGACTTTTAATAGATTTGACAAATGGAATATGTTTATAACTATAATATAATTTCAATATTATGCAAGTACTCCAAATCCCATGCATTCAAGTTTTTCTTTGTTAGTATGAGAAAGATTCTGTAGATTCAACAGGCTATTAAAGTAGAGCATCAGAAACAAAAGGCCGAGGTGCCTGTTATAGACTGGCCA